TCCTTCAATACCCTGAATTCAGTTCCTTGACTTTCTCACTTCCAATGGTCTTGTCCTCCAACCCTCCTCAGCCACATATGCTCAGTCATACTATAGGAACAATGTTTCTCCAATGTTTTGGTGTTAGGGACCTTTTACACTCTTAAAAATTACTGAGTATCCCAGAGAGCTTTTGTTTATGTGGATTATATCTATTAATACCATATTATAAATTAAAACAAATAGGTTTTTAAAAATATTACTTTGTAAAATAATAGTAACAAGCCACTACATCTTAACATAAATAACATATTTTAATGAATAATAAGTTATATTTTCCCCCAAAATAGCTGGATTGTCAGTTTTGCTTCTGCATTCAATCAGTTTTGGTTGAAGTATATGAAGAAATTTTGAACTCGCACAAATATGTAGCTGGAAAGGGAGTACTTCAATAGCCTTTTCAGAGGATTATGGATATTCTTCTCTGATACTATACCAAAACTCAACTCCTCTTATAAATGGTTAGTTGTAACATGGTCTCTGAAATCACATCAGTAAACTTTTCTCACTGTTACATTAAAACCCATTGACCTATCTTGAATTTTGTATCTTTTACTTATGTATTGGTCATTTGGAAAGTATCAGTTCACTAAATTATGCAATATCAAAAATCAGATTCATTAATATCACTACCCATCTCATCAGAAAATTCTTTAGGTATTGGGAAGCATTCAAGCTCCCAGGGACAGAGACAAGTTTTCTAAAATTCTATTTTGTTCATGAAAGCTCAAATTTTATCACTGTTGGTTGTTTTCCTTGTAATGACAGTCTCATTTCTCTCCTTTTTGAGAAAATGTTCACCAAATACCCAAGTCTGAATAATTATAGTTCAAGTAAATAGGTGCTATTCCATAAAAACGCAAATAGTTCAGTTTGTAATCCAATTGCACAAAAGCTTTTCCCCACAAAATCACCTAAATTCAGTTTGCAGAAGTGGTTGATGAAAACATCCCATTTCATCAAACATGTGAAAGGACATATTCAAGGGATGAGATTTTATAAAATTAGTAATTTCACTGCTTTAATTTTATCAATGACATTCTTAAGTGAACCTGGCTTTTTTTTAAGGTTTTTATTTTTATTTTTTTCTAAATCCTCACCCGAGGATATTTTTTTCATTGCTTTTCAGAGAGAGTGGAAGGGAGTGAGAGTGAGAGTGAGAGAGAGAGAGAGAGAGAGAGAAAAACATCAATGTTGGAGAGACACATCAATTGGTTGCCTCCTGCACACACCTGGGTGAAGTACCTGCCCAGAATCAAACCCAAGACTCTAGAAGAACTGAGTCCTGTTTGTAACTTAATTTCAAGTATGGAATTCTCTAAACACTACTTCCTCTCTTTTCAACACACTCCAATTCTTGCCCTACACACACCCTAGTTCCTTCTCTCTTCCCCTACATACTCACCTACCCAGAATCTCAGCCGGTTAAGTCCAATTCTCTCCTGCTTAACTTATATAGGAACAGCCGAATACCGTTAAAGAAAAAGGGCCAACACTGACTGGTCTCATAAAGTCACAACCACAAAAAAAAAAAAAAAAAAAAAGTGGGCTCTTATTACCACGTTTTTCTAGTCAATTCCTGCATTCTTCCAGAGTCTAGGACCTAGGGCCTATGATTATTTCACATCTCCTCTCTTTTTACACCTCAAACACCTTTTCCTCCCTCCCTAAAATCTGCTGATGGATTTCACTCACTATGAAAACAGAAGAGGTAATCAAAAGAACATCCTCCCACAAATTCTATCACCCTACTTGCAAATGTACCTCATACTCTTTCCTTCTGTTACACAATCTCCAGCCCATGTTATTATTTAAGGCTACCTACTTCACTTGTACATTGGATTCCACCTCTTTGGATACTCAAGGGCAGTGCTCCTACAATTTCCCCTCTCCCTCCTATTACAAAATGTTCTCACTTTACTGGGTCATTTCCAAGAACATACAAACAGGCAGCAATAACTCCCATCTTAGGGGGGGGGGGGAATCTCATGACCCCACACCTCCCAGCAACCACAGCCTTATATTTTTGTTCTTTACAACAACACTCCAAGAGTTGTCTCTAAAGACGGCTACCAGTTTCCACTATTCCTATTTTTCTCTTGAATCCACTCCAATAAGGTTTTCTCCCAGTATCGCCACAGAAACTTCTCAGGATCACCAGTAACCTCCTCCTTGATAAACTTAAAGGTCCATTTTCAGTTGTTATCTTACTCAAAGTGCAGCGTTTTATTTAGTTGATCATTTCCTCCCAAAAAGGAAGTCAGTCAACTCTTCACTTGGCCTCTGGTACTTAACACAGAGGACAAGGGAAAAAAGCCTTTGATGCGCAGGTCCCAGGACCTCAGTGCTTGAAACAGATACAATCTCTGCACAGTTTCTTGGGGGCTGGCGGGAGGGACAAAACGTTGAATTCCGTTTCAGACCTCAAGCTTGAAACAGTAACAGGCGCACCCGGTGGCAGTGGAATCGTAAGGAGAGCATTCAGCTCCTTTCTCAACACTTGGTGAACGACCAACGTCGAAGGAGCGCGTCCAGTGCAGCGGAGGAATGCTCACCAAACCGCGGCCTGCGAAAAGGGTTCGGGTTGTCCTAACAGGCGCCTCGCCACGAAACAGGAACTTCTATCACCCGCACTGTACATACGGGCACTCAAAGGGTAGTCTGCTCAAAGGCCCCGAGTTACTAAAGGAGCAGAGCTAACATCTGGGCGTAGGGCTGTGGGGCTCCAAATCCCAAGCTTTTTACACATAATCTTTTAACTGTTTATTGCACGAAAAATCAGTAAACTTTCAATCAGATGGAGGCCGAGTTTTAAAATTCTAGACTGACTATAAGTTTTTCTCCAAGTGAACACCCCAAGTAAGAATAGATGCACGCGAGGCACTGTCCGGTCCGTCTCTCCCACCGAGCGGCCCTTGCGCGCCGTCCACCTATTCACACCGACGTTCTGGCCGGGCGGCCGGCTCCCCCACCGGCCCTAACTGAAGCCGGCTCGCCGGAGCGCGGCCGCCACAGCGGCCGAAGTCACGCTGCGGGCCTCCACCTGCTCACCCTCTCCCGTTATGTCCTCACGCACTCGAAACGGCTCTGGGAACGGCCCGCCCAGGCCCGAGGCCGCCTCAGTCTGCTTCCAGCAGCAGAAACCGAGCTCGATAAGGCCACCGACGGTGACTGCGGTGCGAGCCCAGGCGCTTCCCCAGCAAGAGGGGCTCCGCTGGCGAAGCACGAAACAGGCGCTTCGCGGGGCCCGCGGACAGCTCGCCAAGCACGCTCCCGGCAGCGGGCGCCCCGCTCGAGGCGAAGGCGGCAGCCTGACAGCGCAGCCTCCAGCTCACGCCCGGGCCTCGCCGCCCGGCCCACTCCG